GAGATTTGCCGCCTTTTTCTCTCCCTTTTTAATTAGCATCCCGGCGGCCAAAACCTAAAAGTGCGCCTCCGTCTCCGCCGTCCCCGGACCGAATAGTCGCGCGGCCTCCTACGGGGTTTCCTGCCATAGTGCACGCGTGATGTAGGGATATTATATTATGTGAGCGTGTGTGTGTGTGTGTGTGTGGGGGGGGGGGGGGGGGGGTTGAGTGTGTGAGTGTGTGTGTGTGTGTGTGTGTGTGTGTGTGTGTGTGTGTGTGTGTGTGTGTGTGTGTGTGTGTGTGTGTGTGTGTGTGTGTGTGTGTGTGTCTGTATGTGTCCATCCTCGCCGCCAAGGGACAGCGTTACATGTTCGAGCATCTTGCGTGAAAACTTGCCCTTGACTGCCGACGGAGAACACGCGCCCAGACCCGCTGCCCGAAAAGGCGCCACGCCCCCGAGGGTCAACAGCAGTGGTGGTGACTGAGAAGACTGCAAGTAGGTTGGTGAGAGAGCCAAGTGTCTTCTGTCATATATTCTCCCCCTCTCCCTCCCCCCCCCCCCTCTCTCTCTCTCTCTCTCTCTCTCTCTCTTCTCTCTCTCTCTCTCTCTCTCTCTCTCTCTCTCTCTCTCTCTCTCTCTCTCTCTCTCTCTCTCTCTCTCTCTCTCTCTCTCTCTCTTTACGCCTCTCCTATCCCTCCCTTCTATCTTTTTATCCCCTATTCCTATCCTTTCTTCCTCTCCTTTTCCTTCACCCCCTCTTCCCCCCTCGCCTGTCCTTCCCTCTCCCTTTTTCTATCCGATCTTATATCTCACTTCCCTCTCCCTCATTGTATTTTCCTCACCTTCCTTCGCACCCCTTTCCCCTTCTCCCCATTCCTTCTCCTATCTTCTACCCTCTTCTTCTCCTGCTTTTATCATCTCCTTCTCCCCTCTTCCCTTATATCTATTCTTTCCTGCTACTTCTTTCTTCCACTATCTTCTCCACTCATTTCCTTCTTTCTATTCCCTCCTATCCCCCTCTTCCACTTTTCCTATATTCTTCTTTTCCTGCTTCCATTCTTTTCTATTCCTTTTTTCCCTTCTACCTTGTTTTATCTCCCTTTCCTCTCCTCTCTTCTGTACTTTTCCTCTTTTTTATCCGTTTTACTTAATGTTTCCCTCTATTTATCCCTTTCTCCTCCCCTTCTCTTTACCTCCCCACTCTATCATTTTTTATTCCCTCTACCTCTCCCTGTCTCCTCTATCCCTTTCACCTCTCCCTCTCCCTCTCTCCATCCATTCTCCTCTCCTCTCCGTTTTTATCCTCCTCCCTCTCTCCCTCCCTCCCTTTTCCCCTTCCTCTCTCCCTCCCTCTCTCCCTCTCTTTCCCCCTCCCTCCTTCCCTCCCTTCGTCCTTCCCTCCCTTTCCCTCTCCCTCCTTCCCTTTCCTCCTCCTGACGTGGCCGGAATCCAGGCGGAGGCGCACGCACGCCCAGGAGACTCGTGTCCTGCCGGCAAAGACTTCAAAGTTGCCTCCCAAGAGAGTGACTCCAATTACGGGTCTGGAAAAAAGTAAGACTCCCTTCTCCCTTCTCCCTTCTCGCCGCCCTCGCTCGACCTGCTGCCTGCCTGTCTGCCCCGCCCACTTCGCCCTGCCCACACTCTTTGTTTATTTATCCGGTCGTGTATTTGTTCATCTTTTATTTTTCATTTTATTTTTTCAGGGAGAGTCGCTGTCTCTCCATCGGTTCTCTTTTTGACTTTTCGTTCCGTGTTCTCAATGCGTTCGATTTTTTTTTCATGTATAAAATTATCTATTTATCTGTGTCTCTTACTCTTTATTTGTCATATAATATAATATAATATCTTTAGTATTAATGCCAGTTGTTACTGTTGTATCATTTATCATCACTATCACTGCCATTATCATTATCTTACCATCATAAATAGATTTTATCATTACTGTAATAATAAAAATTAATTGATATAATCAAGCCAAACTTTTATAGCTTTACAGTCATAGAGATGAGTAATGTCAGTATGAATTACAAAGCAAATATCACTCTTTATAACTACAATGGTCCAACAGTTAGCAAGACAATGCAACATTCAGTTTATTTTCCCAGACATAGTTCGAGACTCGGGCAAAGGCTAATCTTGAAACATCTCGGCCACTATGTCTTGACAATGCAAAAATATCCATATGATGCACATTCATCTGACTCTGACATCGGGAACATTGCCGTTATTGTTCTAAAATAAAAAACAAGGCGAGGCTACGTTATTGTGGCCGTCGCTAGCACAGGTCCTGCCAACCCAGAGGCCACCATGCGCCCTGCGTTGGCCCACCGCACAGCCTGGCCCGAGAAATGGCATCTCAGGTGCCGCACCGCATGGCCCGACGCGGCCACCCAAGGACCCGGGGCGCCGCACACTCCAGCACTCAGACTCAAGAGAATGACACTGACCTTCGTAGAACCTTGATCTCGTTCTCCAGGGAATCCTCCTTGCCTTTGAGCGCTTTCTTATCGATGATCTTG